ACTATATATATATATATCACCAGTGAACATATTATTAAACATGCTGAAAACATTAAGTGGGTTCAAACTAGACATCGGGATAATGTGCTCGCATAACACGTTGCTCTAATCTAATGCTACGATTTTAGATTGACAACATATTTTTTGAGTTTACATGTTATATCAAAGTATCGGCAATGTGGATAAATTGTGATTCTTTGCCGACCCATGTATTTCATCAAACATCAGCTAAAACAAACCACACAAAGAGATAAAATCATTTAATTTCACATTCCGTCAGCTGAACTGAGATTAAAGAAACAACAGAATCATTTTATTCACCTTGAATGTGCTTCATACGGAAACATGTGCTTCGAATTTTACTCTAGACTAAATGTCGGCTTTTTGCCAGACAATATGACGAAAGAGTTGATTTTAAATTTACCTCCCTGGCCCAATTCTCCACATTTTCAAATTTACTCACTTTCTCCTTCTTGTGGTTTTAAACGAGACATTATCGAAGTTAGTTTGAACAGAAATTTAAGGTTTGTTCAGCATATCCTTTCAGTTTTTACTTGTCTGGTACAGACCTCAGATATATAGTGTGTATTAAACATGATATGCACACTCCTAAATACCTGTCACCACATCATGTTTGGCATGTGGTCCAAATATCTTTCTCTTACTTATTTGATTATGTGATGTGTCGTACTTGGTTTGTCCTTGCAGATTATTCGTCAGTTGCTCGAATGATTGTGGTGTTGTTTATCGTTCGTCATTTGTTTTCTGTTCTAGGACTAGTAGGTTCCCCGGGTGGGCGATTATATGGCTGTGGAGTCTTTTGTAGAGTATGGTTAAAAAGTTATCATGCACAGCTGGGCCTGTAATACACACTGTTCTGCCACTGTGCATATTTCATTTTATTCCCTCACATTTTTTTCGTTTTTACTTTCTTGTATATGTTGAACTTATACGCTTAATGTTAAAATTGCATGTCGAAAATGGTACACGATTTGTAAGCTGTATTCAGCGATCAGTATGAAATATTCATCCCTTGGGATTTATACCTTGATTCATTGCATGACTGCCTGATTTTGTCATTAATACCCCCTTGAGACTATGGCCACAAATCGCACTTCAAGATGTTATCACCCAACCCATGGGATATGGCAGTACATCATCTACTGGTTAACGGAATAGCTATTAACCATCACTTGCATGAACAATTGACTGAGTCAAATGTATGTCTAAATACAGCAACTGTAAAATGTCGCCCACCGCCACGCGCCGTACCTGCTTTAAAATCTCTATGCAATGTACTAACATGTTATTCATTGCGAGGTTTATGCTTAGAAATGTATGCGCCTTGCTTCTGGCGATGTGTAGATTTCTATTGTGATTGTAATCACAATTCTCCGACATGGAGAACATAAACATAATAAGCGAGATATATCGCTGAATTCATGAACAAAATATGTTTTGCGAATAAGCAAGGACACTCAAAATGAACACTAATCTGAGATGAACACTAATCAATTCATTCTAATTTGCATTAAAATATTTTTTTTTTAGAAATGTGGTTTATCTTGCGATTATTTGATCATCTCCCAATTCACATCTTCAGTTTGGGCGATCTTTTTATCGCACACTGCACACTTGCATACCTTCAATACTGCAAAGTATTCACCCAGGCAGTTCGGGCTCGCATCGACCGACGCGTACAAGTATCGTACTGCATGCGTTCGCAAATTCTGCTTTACTTTCGTGACAACCTTATTGCATCTAACTACTATATACAACTCATTTTCACATAGACTGTCGATGATTTTAAAGTGGTAATGGGTAATCAAATTAAATTATATGAACTCATATAATATGGTATACAAATTACGCGTATATATGTTATACAAATTCAGTCAAGTGTACACCCATAAATTAGCTACCTTAAAGTCAACAATGCACAGAATTGAGAACGGATTAATTCGAATGCTAAATATGCACATCGGCATGTAATTTTATTAGCAAGTACATATCTCATTATTGTATTGTTTGTTCTAGTAATTTCACGCATTAGTGCCGCTGAACAAAAATTCCTGGGTCATCGTCTGTTTTAATTTAACTATATCCGGACTCGCTATTATTTTTTGAAAAGAAGAACAGTTCAATTCTCAGATTTAACTGAAGCGAGTAATTGTCAGAAAGTTCAAGATCTCCGTAGTACACCCGTCTTTGAAATACTGCGAATGACTTTTTGCCGCATAACACATTTTCTTAATTAATAATGAATATATAAGAAAAAAAAGCAAATACCCTGGCATTGAGCAATATATCCAGAAAATCAATATAATTCTTTGTTCGCTTAATCCCAGATTTTTCCTCCATTTTCATAGCCATCTTCCTATCTTGGATAACCTTTGAGGAATAGTTATGTAGGATTTTTGCTGCTCGACGGAATCTGAATCCGCTCGGCGAGATATAGTATATAAAGTCGTTGAAATACGGAGGGAATCTAGCTCGTTCTATCACCAATGCCGATAACGTATACACCGATTTGATGTATGGGTTTCTTTCTCTGTCAAATTCAAATAATATGTATTTATATCTCAATATATTTGACTTGATATTATATTTATCAATATATATACTTATATGTCATCAGCTTGACTTGATCATATAATAGGATAAGTTCACGGCTACATGTACTTTATTTGAACGTGCCGACCTACTTTAATGATACAGCGCCCACTCGACGATATAAACATAAATATTCCCTCGTCGCAAAGAAATGGTTGCGGAATGGCAAATATTCACAAAGCCATAAAATTACTTGATCAATTACTTCACTGCCGCAATATCATCAAACGTTTCCCGATTCTCTGTAGTGAGTCGAACATAAATGAATTTTTGAATTGTTACTCCGAATGTATTCTAGATGATAATAGGATAAACGAACCTTTGAGTTTGACAGTGGCTGTCCTGTCCGAATATGCACTTTAGTAAAGTATCAAGTGTCATCAAGCTAACGTCCTCGAACATCTCTAAGACCACGCCATCGGGTGCCGACCTGCAAACCGATTCCCATTTATTCTGATGACGATATATAATAACAAAATTAAAAAAATAATTTGAGATTAGTAATAGTTTGAGTTGTATTGATTTTATTTTGTGAGAGCGTATTTGATACGGGATAATATTACGCAAAGTGAGCGCTTCAAAACAGGTAATTGTGATACGACGTGCTAAAGCAAAGCAAAGCAAATACTCTGCATCGTGAACATCAGACAGTACATGTATGAAATTGTACGTGTGAAATTTAAGGCTACGAAATGACTTATACTATATATATATATTTGTGGTCTCCTACCTTACATAAAAAAGAAAATAACAAGCTACGTACATATAAAATTTCAAATCTGAATACTCTTTGAAACCATATTTGGTAAATGTAAATAATGTCAAACACAGAGTTGCCATCACTAAATTCAGAATTTCTGCACATTAACTACCAATAGAGAAATTAAGATATTTACAAGTACCACCAGAGGAAAGGTTATGCATTTTTTTTTAAATATTTTTTTGTGCCAGGTGACAGTTCCGGACTTTGAATGTCACTGTTGTCTCTCCTGACTTTTTTTTGTACGTGCAAATTTCAAGTGCTGACACATAGTGCATTTTGCCACAGAATCATTTCCTGTTTGGGACTACATGACAGGGCTGTGCGGCCATCTCCCTATCAAGTGGCAATTTAATACGCTATCCTGGCGTCAACCAGGCTCGGTCAAACACAAGCACCTGCGGACCTTAACCAAGGTTCCCCCAAAGTCGCATTCGTTAGTGAATGAATCTCGGCCAGTGGAATTGGCCTTCCCATTGAGTCTGTGACACACTCACCCAGGGTAGGGGTCGACCCTTTTGATGTTCAGCCTAGGGTAGGATTTGAACTTGGGTCTACCGATCATGAGTCTGACGCGACAACCACTATGCTACCAGTGACCGGAAAGGTTATGCATGCTATGTGATGATCTAGCTGTTGACAATGAGATGCATGCTTTCTTAGATTGCAGGAACCCAGAGATGGAATCTGGTAGGTGCAAATTTATGAGAGCAATCTCAATGCACAAAGAATTTCAAAGTTTGCCTAAGCAGATCATGTTTAAGAAACTGATAAGTTCAAAAGATAGTTTCATTGCCAGCAGTCTAGGAGTCTATATACATAAAATCTTAGAAATATATGCTAATTGTTAAACATCTTTTTAATTTTTATTTTATTATTGTTGTATTTGTGCGTTACTATGTTGGTTTTTGTCCATAAGTTATGTAATTTCTTACATTATTTCGAGTCAAATAAAATATTCTACTACTACTACTATATCACGCTAATCAAGTAAGCACGTCGTATACTTATAAATGTATTATTTTATAATAACTATCAACGCAACACTCGCACAAATTGCTGCAACTCACACTGCAAAAAAAAACGTTGAAAGCAGTGTGTTCAGGTGACACTTTCTACACGTTGAACAATTTTATATTGCAAGTTAGGAAGTAATCAGAATTTGTATTGTGACCAACATAATAAGGTAAATGTACCATTATCAATTCATTAATTGAACATTGTGGTAATTTCATTTTTGAACAACCGTAGTTATAATTATATTATTAAAGCCCTGGAGTCGATGCACCGTGTCGTATATATGGGTCCAATATTACCTTATATCGAACATGCATAAACTAAACTGTTTGTGTGCACGAAATGCGAAGGAGCGATGCGCGACGACTGTGTTTTACAATTAACCCCAAGTATAGACTCATATCCTGCTCATATCCACTTTCCTACGTCGAGCGACAACACCATGACATAGAGCAGATATAGGCTGCATGATCACTTATATATTGTATAGAATACATTTCAAAACTTTCAGACGTTTTATAAATTATTCTTATACGGATATATGTATCCAATCCATATTTATAACTACATCAATAGTATATTAGAACTAATTTCATGCACAAAAGTATTTTTGACTATTGCTTTATACAGTTGCAATTATATTTAACTTATTGAATGTTTAGCAGAATGTTATAATTTAATGCGAATCTAGACGTCTGATTGGCTGACGCTATATCTTATATTTGCCCCGAAACTAAATAAGTAATCAAAGAAAGCTTAGAAAGAACTCCCGTGTGCTGAGAAGAGTATTGGAGACACATTACAAATTAATTCAAAATTACTTATACTTGAGATATTGATGGAATAGCTGAAAACTAATTATGCAAATTAGGTAACCTATATGAACAAATTTAAGTGTAAAACTAATAAGGTCTGCACAATGTACAAAGTTTCATTGAACTGTGATTAGAACCAACAAATATTAATTATTATGCTAATTAGAGAATTAATATGAACAGATTTTAACCCAAAATTAATCAGGCTGCCTATTGTCCTAGAGCATTTATGTACCAAGTTATATTCAAATATGATGATCAATACTTGATATATCAGTATTAATTAAATATGTTAATTAGGTGATTAAGAAGCATAAATATTTACCAAAAAACTAATATGGTGTATAGTCATTGAAATGTGATGGGTACTCTTTAAAAGTTTCATTGAAATCCAATGAGTGGTTTTTAGACATCAGTGCAAAGCCATAGAATAGCAAAAAAATAACTAATTATGCAAATTAGGTAATTAATACATGTAGGCACAATTATTTATTCCAAAATTAATCAGGTCTCTGCATAGTCCTAGAATATCTATGTCGCAAGTCTCAATGAAATGTGATGATTAGTACTTGGGATATCAGGTGAAAAGCTAAAAATTAACTAATTATGCTAATAAGGTAATTAATATGCACACATATTTACCCAAAAACTAATCAGGGGTCTGCACAGTTCTCAAGTAACTATGTACCAAGTTTCATTGAAACGTGATCATTACTACTCGAAATATCAAAAGCTGAAAATTAATTAATTATGCAAATTAGGTAATTAATATGTACTGATATTACCCTAAAAACTATCAGGTCTGTGCAGTGTCATATGACATCTATGTACCAAGTTTTATTGAAATGTTATGATTAGTACTTGAGATATCAGTGGAAAAGCAGAAAATTGATTAATCATTATGTAAATTAAATAATTAATAATATTAACAGATTTTTACCCAAAACTAATCAAATCTGCACATTAGTTCAGAGCATCCATGTGCCAAGTTTCATTGAAATCCAATGAGTGTTTCTTCAACAATCAGTGGAACAGTCATGGAACAGCTTGAAATCAGGTAATTATCATTCAAATTATGTAATTAATATTCATAGATTTTTACCTAAAACTAATCAAATTTGCGTACTAGTTTAGAGCATCCATGTGCCAAGTTTCATCAAAATCCAATTAGTGGTTCTTCAGATATCAGTGGAACAATCTTGGAACAGATAAAAATCAGCTAATTATCATGCAAATTAGATAATTAATATTCATAGATTTTTACCAAAACCTAATCAACTCTGCGCATTATCCCAGAACATCTATGTACTAAGTTTCACCAAAATTTGATTAGTGGTTCTTGAGATAACGGTGGAACAAAACATACATACATACAGCCATACAGACAGGGTAACTGCAAAGACTCCCTTTTGTGCTTCGCACATGGGAGTCAAAAATTACACAACCATCAGTAATGAGTAATCAATAAATCGGAGCAAGGAAACGCCGTACTAGTAAAATACTGTTTATTTCTAAATATTATAAAACTTGCGAATATTTTGCGAGAACCGCCCCGTTGAGAAACGTGGGCGTTATGTGTATTTTGTGTGCAATTTTACGTACGTCGTTGACACTCACATTCCCTCTTATATGTTCCTATAAATGTTTAATGAATCACAGCTACAAGCATTTTATTTCGCTTCAAAATTTATTTATGTAGGCAAATTAATTAAATATGCGAATTTTCCTACGGTTTTTCACGCACTTTGTCCTTCTACACGTAAGTTTACAGCTATAAGCATTATACCGGTATATTTCGTTCCAATTTATTTATGTAGGTAAATTAATTAAAAATGCGAATCTTCTAAGGTTCAATTTCACGCACCTTGTCCTTCTACACGTAAGTTTATGTAGTGAGCTTCAGGATCTCCCTAGCTCCAAATCACGTTTTGGAAATATCATCGATAATAGCATGGCTTTTCACATAAAGATTAATATAACAAAAATAACTTGGGTTAAAACAAACTCGAACTAGGAAAACGAGAAAACCTTTTATCATTCGAACAATCGAACGCTCTCTCTAGACGTCAACTAGGCTCGACGGACGGGTACCAAGTGCAGTGTCTCCCCGTCATCGAAAGTAAAATTGTGGAATTCAAATCACGGACACCTTTACAAAATTGTTTCAAGAAGACCCCAGCGCCGGCCCTACCATATAAATGTTCCCCATGCGCGCATGATTAGTACGCGATTGAATACTCCAAATTCTATATTAATCTATTGGATATGACACCGAGGATTATTACGGAAAATAGTCAGGTACATACAGCAATGCCAGGCAATCAATTCGCAGTCTCTTGTGGGCATTTTATATTGCAAATGATAAGAAAATCACGTGGGAAGTATGCTAGAAACGAAGACAAATCGTTTACGTATTTTGCAAATTATTTGTATGTATAATTATTCAATTATATGGGAGCAGACAGACGACCATGAAATGATCACTTCTCCAGCCTTGTATATACACTTTGAATTTTACAAGCAGTGACAGCTCTATTTAGATTGTGTTTATAATTATTTTTCCCTACAAATTCTTACAATTAAATACTGTGTGTAAAGGGAACCGGTCGTTATTTCGCAGTAGCCGAAGGCAGTACAGGAGTTGAATAAATGATACGTACCGCCATAGTATGAACACACTCGTTGAATATTTTGACATAGGGTTTTAGAATATCAAAATGAAACCCTGGTGTCAGTAAGCGTCGATTTCTAAACCATTTAGGACCAGAACTAACTAACAAACCATCACCTAACCATGGCCGGAGAAACCCGTAGACGAGCTCTTCCTTTGGTTCTGTAAGTCAAAAAATGAAATAAAATGTTCTTTATTCATACAAGCACAGATGCATAACTCTCATGATGTTTCCATGCCGAACACTGTGGATTTACCAAGTTTGTGTGGCGCCATATCTTTAAATACATGAATTCCTATATCGTAAGTCTAGTTTACAAGACATCACTTACAAAATGTGGGTGTGACTTTTCTTGCATTCAATTGTCTATGTCAATACGTGTGAATTTTTCTTAACACTTAGAGTGCACATTTCAATGTATCGAACATGCAATGTTGATTGAGACCTATCTAGCTTACCTTATTTGGTAAGTTATAAAAGTCTAACCAATCATATTTACTTAATCATGAGAGACACAATGGAGATTGTAATAGTGAGGTGCGGTGGTATGAACTGTGGATTGGGTGAAGACATCAGATATACAAAGTGTAGAATGTTTGTTTCTGGGTGTTGGAAAAAGGGTCTAAGCCCACAGAGTAACGTTTTGTGCCTACTATGAGTCAAGTGTCGGTATGTGTTTTCTGTATACTATAGACAGAATTTTCAAAATCAGAATCACGTATCTCGATCAATCAGCGACAGTCAGACGGTTAAACGATAATTTTGGTTTCAAATAATCCGAGACAGTATTCTAGGTACTTCGTACAATGAGGTGTTTGTTTTTTGCCAGCAAATACGACGAATACGGTCATATTGGATTGCCGCTTGATCTAATACCCAACGGATTGTTTGGTTCTGAAAGTTGTGTTATTTCCCCCTATTTGTAGGCATCTGAAAAATAACTTCTCTCTTTTTTTAGGTTCAAGATGACTTCCCCAGTATAGTAAATATATCTGTAGACTCTACGCATATATTTGATTATCACTTGTACGTCTGCTGACTGTGGTACTGACACAGGTGGTATAATGTCCTGTCAGACGTGGATCGGGTGAAACGCAAGAGATGTCACACACGTATATCCTGAAATGCGCTGTCTTTGATGCTTTGTAAGGGAATTGAGTCCCAAGCGACGGTAACAACGCACGCTAAAACGCAAAGGTTTGTAAACAATGACACGCTATGGCCATCTGACGCACGCGCTGGTGACAACTACCCCGCTTTAATAAATCAATTGTTTAGCTAGAAACAATCACCACTGTGACAGTTGTCTTTGTAACATTGGGTTACTAGCAAATCATAAATGCGAATAGCAATTGACAATTATTCTGTCAACTACAACTGAAATCAAAACAAGTGTTTCCTCTATGTATATAACCACTATATCAGTGCAATGTTGGATATGAAAACTTGAAATATCAATATCCCAATAAACAAACACGGAGGAAAATAAAAGGTCCATATTCAAAACGTCACGTTAATGAAATATCACACCGAAAGCAATTTGATTTCTCTTTTGCGGTAAATTTATAACATCCAACTTGTGGCTTTTTCCATTGGGAATCATGTGTAATTTAATAAAGGCATGTGGCTGCTCGACCCACGCGCACATAACTCACCTGTTGTGGCAGTTAATGTCTTGATCGACGAAGGGTGTCTGCAAATTAAACGAGGAAGAAATGGCCCACACCACAATATGAATACTGGTCCGATGTCTTTCACTAAACTAGGAAACACAGCATATGTATCTTCGTTATTCTTAATCTGTATTAACAAAGATAGATTAGCCCGAGTTAAGATATTACACTTTCCCTGTCACGTGTTAAAGGAGTTTATGTCCGTCGATATATATCTGTCAAAGGTGAATGTAGACAATGTACTGCCAAATCGTGTATGTAAGATTTTGGCATAATCACGCCCGTGACCTGGTTCTTAAATGCCAGAAAAAGTTGATTTTAGTTCCTTTATATCACTAATATGGCCACTAGTACATATATACAGTATACATGACACGTGTATGATGGAATTTAAATGACTCGTCGCGTCGTGTCTTAGATGTATTGATAATACTGTTTAGTTGGATACACTACATTAACCATACCTACATTGTAAAATAGTTTTCATGTCGCGACGAACAACGAAATCCCATTGTTACGCAATTCAATAATTCAGGATTTTGTTCAAAAAGAAAAATAGACATGTTTAATCGTATTCTAATGTACATAAACAATTTATTTTGTAATTTCTCCTACTGATGACTATAATGAAGATATTTTGTTTACGCTAGTTATAAATCAATAAGGGTAATGTCATACATAAACGTTACAATCTTTTTGCATATTATTATAAAGAATTTATTTATTTTCAACTGATCGTTATCAGGTCGTACCCTTCTGAACAGGTATAACCAAAAACTCATTCACAGACCAATGTGGTGTGTGTTTTCAGTTTAAACTACATTTAACTCAAGCCTGGAGAATTAGCCGAATGTGGCTTAAGTTAAAGCATTGCTTCGTTTAAAGTATCACCTCACGCGAATGTGATTCTAAAAATATATGTGCCGTTGTAACAATAGAGGTACAGAACAGAAGATAAATGTACTTGCGTATTTACAGGGTACATGTGATACTGGCCGATTATATTGTTCAACGACTAGTCGTATCAATGTGCGTTGTGACCTACGACTAATATTATTCTATGGTTGCATAGTTTTAGTCAGGACGGTATCAGAATTGTATCATATTAAAACATCCAGCATGTTGAATATTTTGTGGTTGTATATTTTGCGAGTTTGTATGTCAGCAATAACCAACTACGTACGTACGAACTATTAACCGGCCGTGACATCTTTATTCAGGATACAGATGTGACTTATTAATCAATTAGATGACAAAATAATGTTTTCCCTTGGGAGCCCATAAAGAGGAGTATGACGTCAGAGTTGTGTTTGGGTGACGGAAATGAGCATCCTGGTTCCAATGGCTGCTATGGGAATAATATGAAGATTGAATTTTACCTAATTAATTGAAGTCTAATTAAAGACAAATGTAATGGGATAATTTTTACGTGAACAAATCTTAGCTTTCTAATGCTAGTTATAAGTAGAAAGACTTGTGAATAAAAAGAAAACATCTCTTGAAATATTAGTTCAGATTTCTCGGTTTTTAAAAAATGTAAACTGAATTTTTAATTTCTAGCAAAATTGTCAGTCAATTGTAGAGATATGGTATCAAAATTGTTCTGATCCAAAAATACCAGGCATTATTTTTTTATTCACGGCGACTAGTATTTTGTAATTTAAATTTTCCTTCCAATTAATACACTCGACCCCATAAAAAGGTTAATTGACCTGGGAAACGTTTCTGTGCATGTTCAAATGTCAATGTGACTATTTAATGTAGAATGTAAGACATTTAGATTGCAACCGCTGAGTATAATTATCTGGTCATCGGGTCTAGAGTGGAACGTTTAACGTATATTACCAGATTTACAATAATACACGAGGTCATCACGTTGATACGTCTTAATATATTTCACATTTATATCTGAATTGAGTTTTATATTTCCAAAATCCATTATTAGTCGAAATCAAAACCTGCCTACAAACCTAGGTTTCGTATTGTAGTTGAGTGTCATAATACATTCTAGGCCCATAATAGATAAGTTAGATACAGGACATCAGCATTACTGAAAATACAGACCTCGGGACACAGACACGCGTTTTGAAAATACCATACCATGCCTATGTTACTGTTACTTATAAGAGTGATGTGTTACTTCATGACATTGTTACGGTAACCCGTGAAAACAATGGCGGACCCCCTTATTATCCAAAATGGTTGAACTTGATTTCCACAAATAGCTCTTTAATGCCGATTTTCGTAAACAAAGTATCTCACATGCGTCTGACACCCCCAGTATTACAGAAACATTAATGTGTGTTTATATTATAGCTGGAACAGAATAGCGTAAAATTGTTATGGGGTCGAAAACTGAAACTAGACAAACAATTGTTTAGTATATTGTATGTATATTGTACATTCAGAGATAACATCTGAATCAGTAAACATGTATATGAAAACTCCTATATCATAAAACGTAACGATATCGAGGCATCAGCTTTTACACATGTTATCTGGCTTGTAGACTGACCTTGACGATAAGCAAAGACTTTACAAAACTAAATAACGGTATCTCACAGATTTGAAAAGTTGGAATAGAACTTTAACGCTTGTTTTTGTTTTCATTTAGTTTTAATCCGAGTGGGCTCCCGGGATGTTACGACCAACTAAAGTTATTCGGGGTGTTATTAGCTACACCAATCAATACATCTAAGTGTTAGATTATATTAACTTCGACATTTGTTTCAATAGTGGTACAACAAATCTAGTTGTGATTTATTTATTTATATTTTATCCGGGCAACTCGAATAATAATTCAAATGTAAGAATGTTTGTGAATAAAATTTCCTATATTATGAGAACTTGGGAAATAAGATAAAATTCAAAGCACGGTAATATGTAAATCAAACTGTACCATTGCCTGCAGAAGAAACATGGAAAATAAGTTGTTCTAACAGATGTATGTTTTTTAAGCAAAGATTACAAAAAAATAGTAAATTCAAATTATTACGGTTGTTAAATTGAAATCAATGTATATTTTTGCTTCAAAACCTATGTAGTCACAAATGTGCAGAAAACTGGGTACACTGTGCACTGTCATATTGACCACGGAACTTTGGTCGGTGGCCCGTATAGACAATCGCTCGACTGTTACATGTTTATAGAAATCCGCGCTAATATTTTAGAAAATACCCTACTGTGAGTTTAAACAAAATAGATACAATAACAAGGCTTACAGTTGACAGGTTACCCAAAAGCCAGTGCCTAGGAACATCCAAAGACGGGAAACAGGCCAGTTCTTTCTCCAATTGCCAGCGCTTTTGGAATAGTCGGACTACGCTAACCAGAACTTTGATACATATAGCTAATAAAAAAGTAGGCCATAACAGACCAAACAACGTAGTAACATTTACGTTTGATATGAAAAGTCCGAAAAGCCCGTAGTCCGCCATTATTGTTGCACTTGGTATAACAACACAACGACCTTCCGTCAGTTTATGGTTGACTGATTACGATGCGTGTCAAAGGTCAAGTGTCAAATGTCATACACCCGCATACTGTATAGCAGTCTATTTCAATGCACAAGAGATATAAGGGAAGCCGCTGTATTTAAAAAAAATACCTTTTAACATTACAAACATATAATAGTGCCAATTAACAACGGTTATAGTAGAACAATGCACCTAGAAAGTTCGTGACCTATAGGCGGGGGGGGGGGGGGTCATGATTATTTTAATCTGTATATTTGCAGTATATTTTATTGACAATACGTATATCTCGCGATGTTCAGAGATTGTCTAGATTTCGACTGTTTGTACTAAGTCAGTGTTGATACTGTATCTGGAATTCATCAGCGTCCATGACTAATGAGTGATACTTGGAATACTGAAGGAAAGCCAAGGTATCAACTAAGTACTGGTGTTGATATAAGATCTACATCGTGTTTGATATATAAAACATTCGTGTTGTGATTATCACTTAAACAAGTATCGACGAGGCGTGCATTTGTATGTCGGATTTCATCTTCTCCAACACATGATAAATGGGTTATTAAATTTGACAGCCTCGTTATCAATATAGGACAAGTATGTACCGATGCAGGTTAGATACACCACCAATGATAGTCTGGTGACAGGCCTTAGAACCCTAAATAACAATATGGCAGTATCTTCGCTTCAAGTAAAGTTGGATTAATACTTTTTGGGCTTATGTATATATTTTCTTATGTATGTGAATATATTATTTCCATATTTTGTCAGAAATAATAGGCAAATATTGCCATTTAACTGAAAAATGTCCACGGTAGGGTAACGGTAGTAACTGGATTATAGCTATATTTGCATTCTATACTATACAAGTCAACTGGCCAGTCTCACAACTGGGTTTTGTCCTTGCTATTCACTCGTTATTGAATTTCACCAGTAGCAGCCTAGCATCAAGCACTGTTATGATAATAAGTGAAATTAGATCTGTGTGGGGATTTACAATTGTTACATGGTTGAACAAGTTTTTCCCGATGCAAGCTAATCAAACAGTTAACTGAGGTCTTTTGTGAAGTTGCGAATATTCTTCCTTTTCGTAGTGTGTGGGGTTGATTCAATGTGTGGGATTGAGTCAATCTGTGGCTGATAATTTCGACGCCACTATTCCCTCCAAGAATGGTCTTCGATCAACGCATGCATTGGCATTGCTTCTGACTCAAGAACAGAAGAACACAGACATTACAGATAAGAACAGAGCGACAATAAAAAGAAAGGAAATGCAGAGGCAGGTAGTTTCAAATGTAGAGATTAAACACTATGAAGGACCAAAGACGCCAACTATGCAAGAAGGTGGAGGTATGCGTTCTTTTATGCCATTGAATATATTAACAGAGCAAGTGGTGCTGCCTGGAAAAGCAAAAGATATATATTTTCTGAAGAGTATAGTTGGTGTACCAAGAACTCCAGAATTTATTGGTTTTAAAACAAGACTAGCACGTGAGCAAGAACAGGAGCAATGTACACTCTCAGTCCGTCTTTTTCTCGGTGGGCCCTTTGTCTTCATAACTGCAGCCGTCGTCTGAAAGATTTGGCTGATATGAAAGATGTTCTGAGTGCAGAGTCAATTCACATCAACACACATAAAGAGGGGGTCAATGCTAGGATTGAATCATATGCATCTGACAGGATGAACATTCGACACAAGTTAGAGAAATGAGTTGACCCTATGAATCCTGAAGAACACCCTGATCGTAATTTTAACATTTTCTCTGGCAGAATTGGTCCAGATTCTGTCAATGTAGATAATGCAGTCAACATTGGAAAGAAGCAAAAGGCTAAGTATGAACGTAACTGGTAAAATAGTTTTAATGGATCTTTGTCATACAAAGTTTGTGAATGAATCATAGAGAAATGATTTGGTCATGAGCTGGCTCTCATTTCATTATCCATGTTCAAAGACAGTGGTGATATACGGTTAGCAACGGAAAAATCACTTAAGAATAAACTAAAGGTTGACCTCTCGAACCTCAATAAAGCCTGACGTGAATATTCTTGATGAATGTGCAATCATTTGTTGTACTACTCATGGGACTGTACACGACTATGTTGATAATTTTGGGGGTTATATATCACATAGAATGCTTAATAGTGATGTGTATCTAAGTATTTGATCGATACTGCTGCTTCACTACTATGTGCTGAAGAAATTGACTTGCTTTCTTCTGGTGGACGAAAACAAAGCACAGCGAACAGTTACAGACATAGCAGCAACTGTAAAGAAACAGTCAATGATTGTATCATAGATTTTAGCTGCCCATGCTATGTCTGGTTGTGGTACCGTAGCTCAACCATATGGTATTGGAAATGCATCAGTTATCAACATTCTACAGAAAGGTCACAAACTAGAGAAGCTTGGTGACACAAGATTTGGCTACAGGAGATCACTGAAGAGGCTTCTTGTTTTATTTCTGCATGCTACGGGAGGAAATGTAATGGGAGTAAGTCTGATGTAAGATATGATGTTTGGCTGACAAAGACAGGGTACAAGAGAGGTAAGAAAACTCCACAGTTACAGTCGTTGCCACCCACATCAAAGTCTTTTGCTGCAAATGTGAAAAGGGCACATATTCAAGCATGTGGTTAAAAAAGACATTAGACCAGGAACCATCTAGCTTGGACCCCCACATACTTTGGCTGGATTAAGGAGAAATATTCTAAATCACTCATCCCTATAATGATCCCAGAGGATGTGTCACCAGCGACAACTGAAGTGTTACAGATTATTCGGTGTGGATGTGCATCGGAGCAACAATGTTCAACAGCAAATATGGCTGTTAGGTAGCACAGCAAGCATGCATATATTCTGAAACTGTCACAAGACAAATAGTTGTCAGAATAGATGGACCAAAGCTGTTTATGAATCGAGTGATGATGAGGCGAACCATGATGAAAAATATGAGTAAGAAGAAACTGTCACAGTGTCTTATTATTACCAAAGCCTCTAAATCAGAACATTAATGCAACAATATTTTGGCGTCATTTTGACGCGGTTAGGTGTAAAGTTTTGTAAAACAGCATGAGTTTACATATTTACCTTAACTTCATCATACATAAACTCTGGTTTCTACTGCCTACCCCCCCCCCCCCCGACCATAGTCACGAAGTATCATGTTTTTTCGCGATGAACACGATCTTGACGTCGCAAGCGAGTTCTTTTTGAATGAGCTTCTTTTCTGGTAATATAACCACTGGGTTTGTCTCTGTTTTACTGATTGGGGGGGGGGGTCTACCAGTAGCAACTTAGCAACGGGTATTCAATGGGTCTATGATAACTTATGAATAGAATAGAATAGATAGAATAGAATAGAATAGAATAGAATAGAATAGAATAGAATAGAATAGAATAGAATAGAATAGAATAGAATAGAATAGAATCCTAATTGCTATCGTAACCCATAGTTGAGGTTTAGATGAAAAGTACAATAAAGTAATGTTTTCTGAAGAAATAAAAAATAACCAACACTAACAAAACACGAAAAAATCAAGTCCATCAAATTTCTAAACAAAGAAAAAAAGGTTAATTTGTATTTTATAAAGCAGCTGCTTTAAGCATTTTTCTTTTAATTGAATTTTCTCGTATATTAAACATACAGATATAAATATGTTTCTCCATACCATTTATAATTTTTCATCCTTATTGTTCAAAACACAACACAATAGTTAAAATCACACTGCAGATTAAGGCAAAAGAGCTAACCACTTGACCATACTAACTGACCCGTATACGTCATCTCGAATATCGAATATATGTCACATGTAAAGAAAATGTGAAAATGCATACTAGTACATGAACTCCAGTCATGTGGTCAAGAAGCGATAACGGACGCACAATTCATATGAACGTGTTTTCATGGCCAGTTTGTATGTACTAGCTGGGAAGGCCATACGTACTCTAGACTTTTCAGTTGATACGCTTACGAAGTCATAACTGTATTTTGAATTACCATAATTAATTCTTGAGATATCCAAACGTGTCGGTGAATATCTTCTAAATGATTCTGATACAAAACACTGTGTTGCTGAGTGGACCGTGTCAATGAACAACAACATACAACGCATGAATAATTCATTGTACACTTCAGACGTGGCTCTTCTGGTAATCTATCAAAATTAACTATTGCCTAAGTTCATACGTGTAGTATATGTGATCAAAGCATTGTGCATGTGACAATCATAACTATACATTTAAGTAATTCCCGTGCCGTCTCGTATTCCACACAGACTGGAAGGCAAATTACACAGCATCAGCATGCTGCACAACAATCCATGCATGACGAGATAAATTTAACTTGGTGTAAGGATATCAATGTTTTCCAGTAGAGCAGTAGAGCGAGACCAAAGTGACTCGCAGCCAGCTGAATTAATAATTGAATGCTTTGAGCACGCTTAGCGTGTTGTAAGATCTGAAACTCATCACTCATAACTGTACAATGATTCATGGGAAGGATAAGGAAACCATTTGTTTGACTGTTTCTAACTTTTGTTTGTGATGATAGAATTTACAACGGAAGTTAGAAGTTGACAAAATATCAATATGTTTTTAGATGCCATAAGTGCCATATCAAGTCTCATTGAATGTTTGTCTGAGTGGTGATTGATGTTTGGACAACGACTACTTCTCAATTATAATGCACATAGTACACATTGAAGACTGTATTGTATACATTCTGGCAAATGCTTTTCTTAAGAGTTATCATATGTAGTTGTTGGCTGCCTGTTTATGTATATTTAGTGCTAATAACACACTTAGCGTTTTGCAGTGTGTTATCATAATCTAAAAGTGGTGTCACCTATGTCACTGTTGAATCGTGATGGAATTCCACTTGTATATGACACACTTAGCTAAATAATTCTCAAACTCAAGGCGCAAGATCATCCCATAATATAAAGGCATCATTGATTTTGAATTCCTACCTTTTTCTAATTCAACCCTCATGCATATGTCTTTAAACTATGCAATAACGTTGTTCAAAGAAAGTGATAGCTTCACTCAATTGCATTTCCAAGGGTTAAATTTCCATGAGGTTAATTATCTGCTTATCTAACATATTCTCTATCGAGTGATTGCGCTTATTTCGTTTAAGACAGGTAGAAATGATAGTTAGTAAGCTTAAGACGTACTGGTTTCAGTTAGTTTGCCAGTGCAAGTGGAATATCTCAGTCTAACTCGATATTATTCTTGGTTGATGAAAGCTGCCAGTAACAAATATTAAAATTATGTTGTTTGGTAAAAAAAAATTAAAAAGGCCTGCAATTATAAATGAATATTCGTGCTTCAATCCAATATACAAAGCACATTATAAGATGAACATGTGCATGCGTTAAGAATTCAGTAGATAAACTGTTCCTTAAAGATTTAATATATGAAGAAGAAAGGTAGCATGGACCTAACACTTTAAATTCAACAGTCGTATAGAGATTTCAAGGAATTGCAATGAACACACAACAATAACAATTAACATATGACAAAGTATATTTACACACATTAATATTGATAATGTGTAAAGTAGTACAGAAATTAATGTGCTTCACGAGAAGAAATAGATAATTCACACACTTAATGTACGGAAGAATGATTACTCGGACCTCAAGGTTAGCCTCCAAGAAGTGATATCAAGTGTTAAGTAAGCATATCCTGCCCTACCGGAAGCACCCGCCATATATCAATATAAGTAGCCAATTTATAAAGTGACCTTCTACTTCTACTACTACTTCTAATGATGTTAAAACAATCAGAGATCATCCGCCCAGATGATGTGTCGTATTTTGGCACCAATTCATAATCAGGCAAAGAAATGCTCTAATGTTGAGATAAACCTTGACTTACCAGCCTGGAGTCTGTAACATTTAACAAAATCACTATAACCAGTGTACTACTACTTCTAATGATGTTAAAACAATCAGAGATCATCCGCCTAGATGATGTGTCGTATTTTGGCACTAATTCATAATCAGGCAAAGAAATGCTTTAATGTGTAATCTGTAGCATATCAAACAAGCTGGGAAATGTATACGCAATATGCAGAAGGAAGAGGGATATAACTACAAAGATAAAATAAAAAGTTTTGCTTGTCATACACTTTAGTAGAAAGAATGCCCTAAAAGTCAAGCATGATAACAATATATTAAGAATAAGAAGTAGGTGTCTTTGATTTCATGTTCAGGTAGATATAGAGTAGAAAGGTAATTATTGATGGTAGGATTGTTGATGAAAAGTACATCATCGATATACCTGAAGATGGAAGAAGAGGATGATCAACATTTCTGACAGTAAATGTGTGTAAGGTGCTTTAGACTTCTAAAAAATGTCCGTGCATAATTATTGAAAAAACACAACAGTTGTACAACATGTATATTTTAATTTAAAATCAATGCTGATTCTCTTCAATGAGATATTGATTAAATGATTACTGTAACCATTGACTGTATATGTGCGAATGTCAAGGACATGACAAGGATGGAGAGATGTCATCCCGTGATTTGTAAGCAAATATTAAGAAAGCTCACTTTTAGAATACAAGCTGCGAATAACATCAAGAAAATGCCTTTACCTTCCAGATCAGACATAACACATAACAAGCAACTATCCTAAATGCATTTCCACTGTGAAGATGGCATTATCTGTATGCTAAAATTATTTAATAATAAATTATTTGTCGAGTTTGAATACTATTTTTCAACAAACTATTAGAATTACAGTGGGAACAAATTGTGCTCCCTTGCTGTCCCTTTTTGTTCTTATGATAGAATAAATCATGTAGCAGTCAAATCTATTAATATCATACTCAAATATATAATACATAGTGGGTGCAACGTGTAGAGCATGTTCTTCCGGAACTATTTTACAACACCTACTGGTTGTATACCTTGAGTAAGTGTATCATTTTAAAACTGATTTGACCGAATTTGCCAATGTTGTAGTTACTTTATGTTCAAAAATGTATCTATGGCCAAATATGATATTTCCACTATACAGAGCAACAAAAAAGTAAAGGTAAAAGTAAGCAGAATCGGTCATCAAAGGGACACAAACCCAAATATTCTTGTGGAAGCTGGTAGTAATCAGTGCTGAACTCATCGAGTTGATACTGAGAGTTTTAATTGCGTGGAAACAGTTTCATCCCAAACACATTGTAATGTGTATCATCCTTGTTTATTTTTGTTGTTTTTCATTATTCAATCGCACTTCTAATACTCAACGCGTACAATTTTGAAAGCAAACTGTGAAATATATGCACGGAAATAATACCATTTAAGGAATGTTGTTTTTCAAGTATTATTTAAATTTTGTACGTGTAGTTTAGAGTAGAGCGAGGCTAGGAGTGTCTGAATGATATGAAATCTGGTCTGATTACTCATTTATCATTTACATCATGACAGCAAAATCTGACTAAACTGGCATTATTATAACACAAGGAACTATTTACCACGGATCTACTTTCATTTTAA